GGGGGGGGAGGAGGAGGTGGGCTGGTCCATGTGGAGCAGCTTCGTGAACTGCTGCTGCTTCACCATTTCCTGGTGGTGTGATCCTGCCCTGGTCTGTCCACCCCTGCCACATCACCCCGCAGCTCGGTACCACTCTCGGGCCCCGTTCCAGCACCCCAACCTGTCTGAGCCTGCGGCTTGCTCCGTTACAGCAGCAGTGCCATGGGGCTGCGGGGTGGTAACTGGGCAAGATGGGCAAGTAACACTTGTACAGTGCTGCGGCCGTGACTGTTATCTCTGGAATTCCCCTCTCGTGAGCTGGAGTCAGATCTCTGAGGTTACGGATGCAGCCGGGTTTGCCCCTGATTGGGGAAGGAGGAGCCTCAGAGGCTGGAGATGGGGGTTGATTAAGGACATTGGAGATGCGTTGCTGGTTGATCACAAGTGGAAGTGGGTCTGGATGTGCCGCGGGTGGTCCTTTGCTGCTGCATCCCTGTGCTCCTTTTGTCGGTGTGTGTTCTCTTTTTGAAGCCAATTGTCTGCGTTTTAGCAACAAATTAAATAGGAAATGAGGAGGAACAAGCTTCTCGGTGGAACAACTCATGCTGTGGAGTTGTTGCTTGTGGAGCAGACTGTGGAATTGCTTGGGTGGTAGAAGAGGTAAGGAGTTTCCCAAAATCTGAATTGATTTAAGTTATTTTTTAATTAAGTCTGAGACTCTCTAGTCTTGGCACAGAAGAGGTTTTTTCCCCCCTCTGCCGAGTCAGTGGTTTGTCACATCAGTGTGGCTGAGGGCCGCGCATGAAACGCCCCTGTTTCCCAGGGGAAGGTGGGTCAGAAGAGCAATCCCAGCGGTTCTGCCGCCCTCCGGATCTGCAGACTGTGTGCCTTGTTTTACTGTCTGTGGGGCAGCAGCGTGGCCGGGGAGCGAAGGAAAGACGTGACGGCCTGAGGCAGCTCTTACTTGCTCCCGCCTGTCTTCCTCCGCAGTTGGGGAACACGGGCAGTGCACTTCTCTCTGCCGTTGCGTGATGCCACCGGTCATGGCGTGGGTGGTGGCAGAGGGCAGGGAGCTCCGGTGGTCTGGTACAGGGCAGCACCCTGTACCCTTGTGCTGGGCAGCGGCCGTGGCGAGGCCGGGGCGCAGAGCGCGTGGTCCACGCCAGGCTGAGGAGGGGCTGACCGCAGCAGCGCACTTTCCCGCTTGCTGCATACAGAAGGCGTCACACACAGTGTGTTCCATCGCTGGACAAACGGATGGCTGTCCAGAGAGGGGTTTTGCTTTTAGCTTGGATGCTTCACCACGATCATGTTTTGTGCTTCTTTTTTTTTTTTTTTTTTTTTTATTAATTTTAGTGGTCGTGCATGCATACTCTTGTGAATGCTGATCCATCCCGCAGTTCGTGAGGGCTGCGTGGTGCTGGCACCCAGCCACTGGCACGGCCAGAGGGGGCCCTGGCTGCTCTCAGAAAGGCTGGGGGAGGCCGTCGGGCCCATGGGGGGAGCGCTCCCCATCTCGCCCCTCTTCTTGGGAGGTCCTAGGCTGCTACAGCCGGGGCTCCTTGCTGAGGTCCTGTGTGTCAGCCCATCTTTGGGATGCAGGCAGTTGCAGTGGGTGCAGAGCTCTGGCATGGGGTCAGGAGTGGAGGTGGAAAGTGTGTTTCAGAGGAGGCTTTGTTGCTTTGCCATGCTCATTTCGGGGGAAAAAATAAATTAAAAGTAGTAATAATCCTGCTGCTCCATTCGCCTGTCTGTCCCTCTTCCTGCTGCCCCCCTCGCACCACCGATGGTGGCTTGTCACTGTAGCCCTTGGGGTCCCTGGAGTTTCAGCAACTGCTCGTCTTGCTTAGGACTGGTCGACTGTACTGTAACAAAATGATGCGTTAACCTCAGTACCCTGCCACGTGTCCGTACACGTTCCGCATGGCAGTGCAGAGGGGGCCTTCTAGCTGTTAATGCCTTTCCAGTTATTTTATCAAAAGGAAAAAAAAAAAAGAAAAGAAAAAAAAAAAAGAAAACTGTAAATGTAGCAAGCTGTGTTTGCAATGCTTATTTTCTCCTGTCTCCTCTGAGACTGGTTATGTCACTTTGTCACTGTTTTGAAATGGATGCTAGGCTCTTTTTAAGAGAGGGTTGCTACACTTGATGTTAAATGCCTCACTGACTCTTTTTTTTTTTTTAAAGTTTCCAATACAGGGAATATATGAATGGCTTTTTTTTTTTTTTTAAAGAAAATGTTCATCTCGGTGATGCGGAGCGGGTGGCTGGAGGGCAGCGTTTCAATGAGTAGTTTACAGTTTCACTTTCTGCAGACACTTGAACATAGGACCGATGTATCTGTGACAAGCACATCCCCTTGGTGGGAAGCTCCAGAGGAGCGGGGAGCACCCTGGGCGCCAGCCAACCCCCCGTGGAGTGTGCTCGGGTCACCCCCAGGGTCCCCGTGCTGTCCCCCTGCGGCTCCCTCTCCA